CATTGTATACGTGTATTGAAATATCACACTGTACCACAGAAATATGTAAATTATGTGTCAATTAAAAATAATTTAATATGCTGAAATAAAATAAAGTCACTGGAAAAAAGTCACTGGAAAAAAAAAAAAGCAATACTCTTACACTCTGTTTTCTTTTCTAATCCAGCTGGTATTTTACTGCTGGTTGTGATCCACCAAATTAACTTTTGACACACACAGGTCACAATCCACCACTGTAAACACTTTGGTCCAGCATGCCATGCCACGCCTTTTCTTTTCTCTGCCCTTGGCCTTTTGAGCACAGGTACGATAAAGTCCTCAACTAACCAGTTCACCATGAACACTCAATGGAAGTACAAGTATACTCAACAAAATATCTTCCCCTGGAAAAAAATAACATGAACATTCTACAGTTTTTCTCATGCTAAGATTTTCTATTAGATGTCTGCTTGTTCTGATGGAATACAACCAAAAATAATAAAACCTTATGGAATTCTGATGATTCTCTTGTTAATTCTGGGAGGAAGAGAATGGTCAAACTTCGTGCCAAATTGCCTACAAACCAGGATATGTCAGGCAATGCAGTCAGTACCTTTCATTCCTGCTAGTTCTGGAGTAGCCTAAGTTGTCAGAGGAGGAACACTTGCAGAGATCATAACTCTGCAATAAAGTCTCATTAACTGCTGACCTTATTTATTTGGAATTTGGCGTAAAAGCTTTAAACAATCTTTACCCACGTTTACTTTTGCCAATCTAAAAAGAAAGAGATAAACAAATCAAGAACAGAAAGATGACTATGCAAAAATATTTACCTTATTTAAGAGAAAAAACTCATTTAGCATTGTGGAGCTCACAGCACAATCATACCAACGTAATAAATTCTTATTACAAATCACTTTTATCTATCTGTTAAGGCAGGCCTGGCAGGATTTCTATTTGGCAAAACAATTAAACTTGTTCCAAATGCTCTCTGTACTTTAATGGTGCTGCATTTATTTAAAAATAGGCTGTGATTCAGAACAGCATATGCAAAATTTTAATGAGTGCCTGAATTATTCTGTTAGTAAAGTTGTATAGAATTAAACACCTTAATCCTCACATACTGGTTTCACAGGCACAAACCTCAAATTTTTCTATATAAAAGCAGACTGGTCTAGGATTCTGACTCCCAAGAGTTGGAAAACAGTTTGATTTTCTTCCATGAGAAATAAGTTTATGGTATATAGAAGACATACTAAGCATTGCTTTCTCTTAATCATGACCCCCATGAAGATAATCCTACAGTCACCTATTTAAATGTCCATTATATTGAACCTTAAATTCTTAGTTCTTTCTGTCTCTAATGATTATTCAACTTTCTAATAATTTCAAATACTCTATGGATTTTTTTAAAAGTCTATAATGCCTGAGTTTATATCATGAAATATGTACTTCCCTAAAATGCCCTGTATAAATGAAAATATCTCTACTACTTTTCCCCAAAATATATTCTATGTAGAATATGATTAAAAAGTGGAATAGAATGGGAGTGAGAGGGAAGTGAGAAGGTGGGAAAGGGAGGAGGAAGGGGAAAGAGAAGACAATCACTAAATGGCCTTTTACCCAACTTTATATGTAGCCAGGCACAGGACAATGAGGTTATGATCATCAATTAACTTATCTATGTTAATTGGCTGCAAAGATGACAGAAATGTGAAATTGGTGCACCCATAAAAGTGTAGCTCTGTGGATGCCAAGAGGGACATTACCCAGAGTGACCACTGATGGTGGTCACTGCTTTTCCATAGTGGTCATCATCCACTGCCTTCAGAACACACTGTATTCTCAGTAAGTCATGACATTTCCATGTCAGACGGGGAGATGTGTGTTTCCCAAACTCAGTGTGACCATTAAAACAACCAGTGGAACTTGTTCAATACATGGCTTCCCAGTCCCATCCTTAGAACTACTGAGCCAGAATTTCTACAGAAGAATCTGAACTGTCAAACTGATGGCAAATTCAGGCTGTTGGCTCTCTGCCTTTCTGCCAGGCAGCTTCCTACCAGCACTTCAACCAAGGGAGCCAGACAACCACTCACACACAGCTGCTCTGATAAAGGATAATGACTTAAAAAATAAAATCTGGACAGATCTACTGGAGGCTAATTGAGAAACACAGGACTAACTTCCAATAGGGTAAAGAAAGGGGCAGACTGTGGTAACAGTAGCCAGAGAAATGTTTGTCTAGGATCAAATATTTAGCCATTGTGCGTTTTAAAAACTAGAAAGTGAAATATAACACAAACCCATGGCAGTCTGGGGATTATATATATATTCCAAACTTTCACATCACCATGGGATTTAGAATTTAATAATCATCCAAAACATGCTAGTGGTCCCTAAATACATTCATATTCTTTAGTCTCTTTAATAACAATAGTCTGGAATGAAGAAGGGTTAAAGTAAAGACTGACAATTCTCTCCTCTGCAATGGGCTCAGGAGCAGGGAGGAATTGCTACATCAGATGAAAGAGCAAATAATTACCTTCTAAAATTCCTCCTGCCATTTTGATTTTACTTTTATTAAGTACAAATTATACTCAAACTTCGTCTCTGAATTGGACCGTTTTAAAAATAATATAAGTATATACATACCAGGGATGTTAGCCAAGAACTAATTCAGCAGCTGTGGGTTTAATAAGAACAACGCAAGTAAATTCTGAATAGTAAATTCCTCTGAGGCAAACTTTTGATTCTCTCTTCCTTGTTCTCTTCTGGTGCATTCTACTCATCATACAATACTATGTACGTTCATAGCACTTCATAAATAATAAAAAATAAAATGAGGTCTATAGACTCAGGCCTGGAGGAATCAATTCTTAGGCACAAGTCCAAAGATTAACTTTAACCATGTAGAAACTATGCCAAATGTCCTCAAATGTATTGTTGAAATATTCTTATTTCCAAAGCAAAATGAATAACCAAAACGTGCAATATAGTTGGGCATTCTGAATGGATTAAGTGTGTCAATGATGGGACACCAATCTAAAAACATCAATCTATTCACTTCCTTATTTCCTAAAATCTCTAAAATTTTAACCAGATTTTGAGTAACAAATTAATCAATTCTCAGTTTCTCATGATAAATGGGAGAAAAACTATAGCATGGATACTGCAGGAGAATAAGTCATCCAAAATTATCTGGAATTGTTTTTTTTTTTTTTTTTTTTTGAGACAGAGTCTTGCTTTGTTGCCTAGGCTAGAGTGAGTGCCGTGGCGTCAGCCTAGCTCACAGCAACCTCAAACTCCTGGGCTCAAGGGATCCTCCTGCCTCAGCCTCCCGAGTAGCTGGGACTACAGGCATTCGCCACCATGCCCGGCTGATTTTTATATATATATATTAGTTGGCCAATTAATTTCTTTCTATTTTTATGGTAGAGACGGGGTCTCGCTCAGGCTGGATTTGAACTCCTGACCTTGAGCAATCCGCCCGCCTCGGCCTCCCAAAGTGCTAGGATTACAGGCGTGAGCCACCGCGCCCGGCCTGGAATTGTTTTAATATTCGTGTTTCCTTGGGGGATTTCTTTGGAGACTGATTAAATTACATTTTTATTAGGATAATAATAATGAATCTCGTTTCATTCTTTACGTAAAACTACCTTTCCAAAGAGAAAGAGGATCCAGTTTATGTTAAAGTTCCAATTTACCCAAGTAGTAGGCCAGGGATTTTTAAATGGCTGCAAATAAATAGGTAGATAACCTTCACTGGAAACAACTTCTTCTGCATAATAAGTATAAAACATCCCAACATACCACCAAAATTACTGATGATTAATGAGTATGTTCTATGTCACTTGGCAAATGTGAGGTTTATACAGATACAGAATTACACTTGGAAATTGACCATGTCTTCTTATGATTGTTTGCACCTAAGTTCCCAATTCCTTGCTATTATGATCACAAATATTAAGGTAACAGGACTGGAATTTTTGTAGGAATTCCAGCCAATCAAAGTCCAGCTAACAACACTCACAAAAATAACTTTAAAATAATTTATAGCCCATGTGATGAGTAACTAATACACCAAGATTAAAAGAAGGCAATTTGGACTGAAATAAGAGAGACGATTAAGAAAGGATATATAGTATTATCATTTAGCAATAAAAGTCATAGAAAAAAAGGGCAGCAAATACAAAACTGAGCAGCAAAAACCAAAAAGCTAGACCATGACAAATAATGCTCAGCTTCCAATTATTTTGAATTGTTTGATGGTATTCATCATTACTTTCTGATGACTACATGCATCTGCAATCAGTGAAATATACACAACAAAGTTTGTTGAGACTAAGGTCACATTTTAAAAAGAAAAAACTACCCATAAAAAATATATGATGGCAGGCCACATTTGAAAATACTATGTAATGTTGGAAAAACACTAAGGGGGTCTATGCTTCCATTTCCAACCATGCATGCATTGAGTAGTATCCTGTAGGATAAGACAGAAAAGCCCAGGCAAAGGGAAAACTCAGCCTGAAGGAGGAATCTAGTGGGTCTTTGCTGTCTGATAGATGAAGAGAAGAAAGCTCTCAAGAAATATAAGGTTCAAACCACATTGGGGGGTGGGGAAGCAGCTTTTAATCTGTGTGGTACATAAAAAAAGAACTCTAAAGTGCAAACAACGTGAATTTGTGCATTGACAACACGTTCTTACACGTGGAGAGTAAACTATGACTCATGGATATTGACCAAATGGGCATCCTAGAAATTATAGGTTGCTATGATATCTTATAACAACATTTCTACTATATTATTCATACTTAAAAATATTTTTCTGTTGTTGGGTAAAAAAATTGTATACTGTTTTTAATTATGATAATCTTCTTGAAATACTGCCATTTGAAAAATATTTTGGGACAAAACGGATAAGAATAAAGCTTAGCTTTTTTTCCTCCAGAAAACTTGCAGTAATTCTTTAACCTCACTTATCAAAACCACCAATTTATCTCCCTCCCACAATTTACCTTTCTTGGATTTGGCTCCGATCTTCAATTTTGATGGCCAAGCAATCTGCGTATTTGTTTCCTCCATGATCTGTAACAAAAATTGAGAAAAATATTGACTCAATTAAGAACTTGTATTTACAGATAAGGTTTTTCATACACAAAGAAGCTTATTTTCAAGTTTCTAGCTTGGTGTTGATATAAAATGATCTCATTGTAAAACAATGCAAAAAAAAAAAAAAGAACCTTGGGGGGGAAAAAAAGAGATGTTTTTAAAACCCTTTAATGTATTAGAATTATTCAAGTATATTTTGTTACTCCCAGTGTTCCTCTCCACAATGCTGTAGAATCTTAACATAGAGACGAGAGACCAAAAAGTACACGAACAAGTAATTAACCCAACTTGATGCCAGAACCGTCAGAGATGCTTGCGCTGAATAAAATTCCCCAAGACAATCGCCAATGGATTGCAACACACCAAACTTGAATCTTGTAATATAAAACTGCATGAGTTAGGCCATACTAAATGAAGAGGGTATTTTTCCCCCCCTGGGGAAAAAAAAATAACTTGTTTTGGGCACATTTGTATTTCATTAAAACTGATGAGAAGCCTCTAAACACGACATCATGTCGTTAAGGCTGCATTCCCCGTCACCCTCTGAGCAGTCCGGAATGGCATTTTTGCCCCAGTTCCTCCCCATTTCACATGCAGCTAACACCGGCCAGGAGATCTTGAGACCCAAATGAGCCAAAGCACAAGACCAAGTGAGGGAAGCAAGGATTGCAATGGAATTGGGCACTAAAGAAGAAAAAAGTACTCCAAAATGTGCAACCTTTGTTCACTGTTGATTTTATCATGTGAATTACACTAGATCAGGCGTCCTCAAACTACGGCCCGTGGGCCACGTGCGGGTGTTTTTGCCCGTTTGTTTTTTTACTTCAAAATAAGATATGTGCAGTGCGCATAGGAATTTGTTTATAGTTTTTTTAAACTATAGTCCAGCCCTCCAACGGTCTGAGGGACAGTGGACTGGCCCCCTGTTTAAAAAGTTTGAGGACCCCTGCACTAGATTAATGTTTACTACTGTAACATGAATATAGAATTAACCAAACTAACAGAGCAAACAACTTAATAGGCAAATAACAGCAACAGCCATTCATTCATTTAGTCACTTGAATTAGAGTATAATATTTATCTTTAATATGGATTTAGAGTTAACTAAATAAATGAATGGTGAAGACAATTAAACACATTAACAGTGCAATTAATGATAAGTGCCTTTTCTCCTCAGTATGGGCTGGGTACTGGGCACAAGGACAAATGGTTCACATGCATCATACTTCATCGAACCCCCTTTGTCACAGCATAAAAGGGCTCTCACCAGATGTTTCAGACTAGCAGCCCACAGATGCACTCTGTCTATTCATCGTCAGGAGTTTTCAAGCTTGGGCCAACATTTTTAAATCTGGGAATTTCACATAAAAATTCAGATTTCTGTTTCTCTGGAAAACTTGGCAGATTTAGCACATGGAAGCCACATTCCCACATGGCAATATTTGGCTTGTGCCAAGGTGCAGCTGCCACCTTGAGTCAGGGCCAGCAGGCTCTGGACTGTACCCAGTCCCTACTGTGTCTTTTGATTGTGAGGTCAAAGGGCACTTGCCATCATCATCGTGTCTGTGCCTCTCACTTTCCACTTTCTGTGACATTTGACATTCTACTTAGAGAAATATTCTCTACAGCCGTGTTTCTATAAGAAATTAAGCAACAAAATTAATGCCACACTGTCTTCACTAAGTCAAGGTATTGGTCTGGCCCTGAAGGCAGGTGAGCTTGTGACCTCAACCCTACAGGATCCGGCCCCAGTCTCCTTTCCTCTCATGCCTGTCCTTGTTAACACATTTAATTGTTCGCACCATTAGTCTAGTTAGTTAATTCCAAACCCATATTAAAAAATAAAAAATAAAATACTATTAAATACTATCCCCTCCTCAAATCCCTCTGCACCGGCCACCATGCTGGCCACCCCAAAAACACACTGGAGAAGCATTCCCCTTCGGGGCCCTTGCATTCACTGCTCTCTCTTCCCCAGACCTTCCCATCCCGGCTCCTCAGGCCTAGACTTTAGCCACCTCCTTGTCCAAGTCACTGTCCTTTTCCACGCTCACGCCACGCCAGTCACAATTATTCTTCCCACCTCACTGCCTTTATTGTCCTCCTAACCCTTATCACAATCATAAATCCTCTTCTTTTTTGTGTTTACTTGTTTATAGTCTGTCTCCGGAAAACAACCAGCTCTCTGCCCTGCACACAGCCAGCCCTGGATATAACAAGATCCAGAATTTTCCTCTAAGTTAGTCAAGACTTCTAAAGAGATAAAATAGAAAAGTAAGATCTTACTATAATGCTGTTGGGTAGAGAGGGAGTAAAGAAATAATCTGCATGCTTTTCTTTTTCTGAATTGAATAATTTGGCCATTGGATCCAGTAAATGATGTCAGTTGCCACAGTATGATACTAGAATAGCAAAGCATCCCAGTTAATATACGGGTAGAAGAAACAGCTTTCTTTTTATTTTTTCCTCTTGTTAATAGGGAGATTTTATTTATTTAGAAATAGCTTTCTGAAATCTCAATCATTAGCAGAATTTCCCAGAGATCACCCTGCATATGATCTTCCTTTATTAAACACCAACAGGTGCTCCACGATAGGAAATAACATGACAAAGACAATATCCTAAGAATAGTGGGTAACAGCCATCACGCAGGAATGCCCACTTTACACCTACTCCCTCCAACCCCCATCACCACCCCACGTCTCTACTGTGCAGAGACATGGTGGCTCACGAGGACTCACTCTCAACCAACCCACAGCGACACTATAATTAGAACGGAGGTGACCTAGTATCTCTAATGAAACCAGAGTTCTATCTACTACACCACATAATCTCTAAAAGTTCTGAGTCCCAGGAAAGGCCAAACCTTTTAGAGAAAACTAATTACTAGAGATTAGAATTTAGCATCTGAAGCTGACCTTTCCTATATAACTAGAAGTGACTCCCTTGAACACCATTTGTGGCCAGCCAACGCCAGCCGCCCAGGTCATTCACGGGGCTGCCAGCCCCATACAGAGCTCTGGACGGATGCCTTTGCAGGCATGCTTTATTTGTTCATCACTGTGTGTAAGCTGGCCATTGAGAGCAGGTACACTGGAGTTAAGTACCAGCTCTGCCCTTTCTAGCTGTGATGTGTTGGACAAATACCTGAACTTCTATTAATCTCACTTTCCTCCTCTGTAAAATTAATTATACCTACTCCTGAAGTTGTTGTGAGGACTTAATGAGAAAACATGTGGGAAAACCCAAGCACAGAGCATGGCACATAATATTAGCCCTCGTATTTACTACAATATTGATTACTTTCAGTCAAGCAGGCATTGTCCTTAGATACTAGGGATACAAGAGCAAACAAGATGGCGCCTACCCTCCAGGAGCTCAGGGCCTAACAAGGGAGAAGGCGAATAACCCAGGTTAATCACCACCATGGAACTGCGTGCCAATTTCCAGAGTTTCAGGGCAATATGAGATCATACAGAGGGGATCCTCATCTGGTCGTGGGTAGTCAAGGAAAGTTAGCTCGAGGAAATGCTTATAAATGACCTAAGGGAAGAGAACAAGTTGAGTAGCCAGAGAAAAGGTGAAGAAAGCATCCAGGCAGAAGAGGAGGGCACGTGGAAAGGTCTAGAAGGAAGAAAGGGAGCAGGTACCCTAGAGGGCCTGAGGGTGATTCAGCACAGCTGAAGGCCTTCAAGGTTTGCCTCACCCATCCAGGACAGGGAATGCATTTCATATCACCTCCACTGCCCTAGGGCTATGCATACGAACATGCTCCAGACAGACTTGAAGACAGGATACAAACTGAAGCCAGCGGTCCCCAACCTTTTTGGCACCAGCTTCAGGGAAGAGAATTTTTCCAAGGGGTGGGGATTGGGGGACCGTTGGATTGGGGGTGGGAGGGAGGTGAAGGCAGAACTCAGGCAGTGATTGCAGCTCACCTCCTGCTGTGTGTGTGTCCTGCGGGTAGAGTGCACCTCCCAGGGTTCCGAAGTTTCATGGAAGGCAATTTTCCCACAGACGTGGGTCAGGTGGCAGAGCGCTGGGCTCAATCTCTAACAAGCCACATACCAACAGACCAGTACCGGTACGTGGCCCGTGGGTGGGGACCACAGGAAACCAAGTACTTGTGCTTGGCTGCCACTCACTACAAATACACTCTGGCTAGCAGAATGGTTACACATGATAAGGGGCCATATTTATTTCACTTCCTGGGAAGTTGGCATTTCCCTCAGGAAGTTATCACTGAACCTTTCACAACCATCATCTACAATGACGCCACATTGGTTGCTATGGTTTTGACACCGCACACTATTAATGTGCTTTGGCAGCAGGGTGAGGCATTCCCTGACCAGGAGGGGGAAGCAAAGTTCTCCACAGGGGGTGGTGTGGATGGAGGTTGGCCCAGGAACCCCAGGACTGGAGCTAGACTACTGTAGCCGGGGGCTGACGAGCATGCCCCAGGAAGGCATAAGGGGGGGGGGGGGGCAAGGGGTAGAAAGGTAGGAGTTAGGCAGTAAGCAAGGCAGAGGTTCTGTATCACAAGCTATGCGAAAGGTGTCCTCAATGTTCATCAAGACAGGTAAATAGGGGAACTGGAAAAGGTGAGTTCAGGAAGATATTGCTGAAATCAAAGAAGCTGCAAACAAACTCTGAGAAGAAAAATGATGATCTTCTGTTTCAGAAAAACAAAACAAACGAAAAAAACAAATTCTAAAAGGAGTTCCAGCTAATTGTTCTTGGTTTTTTAAAAAATTCTTATCGTCCTTGTTCACACCTTCACAAAACCAAAGCTCAAAGAGTAAACTATTGATTTTGAATCATTTTCTATACACATTAAAGTGACATTTTAAAAAATAACATGAAACTAGGGACACATTTTATGGATCCTACAATAGATGGAGACATTGATACCTTTTCAAGAAGGTATCATACATTTCTCACAATCCTACTAATTCCCCAAAAACCTGACAAGAAAA